CATCTTCTGATAGTGCAGCTTTCACCTCCTTTTGTACCTTGTCCTTGTTTGTAAACATGTCTTCTGTCTCTGTAAGAAAGCCACAATAGTCACACAGAGCTTTTTTCAGTTGTCTTCTCCAATGATTAATCAATTTGGCCCTATTTCAGTATACTTGCCCCTTACAGGTAGCATCATGACAGCCCATTAAGACAAGAAAGCACTGTCATCTCTATTTTGCTGATAGAAGGTGAAGAGGTATATGGGAATTCTGGGATAAAGTTAAAAAATTATTGGAGGACATATTTGAACCTGGGACTAAGAGCACCGACACACATTGCCTGAACTCTCCTCCCTCTTCTCTTTTTCTCTTCCTATAACTCTCCAAGCTTCCAGTGAATTTGAAGGGAACAGCCCTCGTATCCTCATATCCAGGAACTACTGCTCTTTTTCTGCCTATTTGCGTCACTCAAATTAATTCATTCTCAATCTGATCAGAGTTCTTCACCCACCTCCCCCTTACCTTTTATCTACCCTGGCGCTTTTGTTATGGCCTCGCACTGTAATTCTGCAAGGGATTTTCTGCAGACACCTCAGCTAATTGTGAGAGGCAGAAGTTATCATCCTTGCCCATTATTTTTTTGTGGTTACAACTATTCGTGGATGCAATAGTGTGTGTATAAAATGATTTTCAGCCAACTGTCATATCAACAAGTCCTATGGCTGAAATATTTCACCCCGGAGAGGTGGTGAGATGATCCTCCAAATGTAAGATACTAACCAAAATGGAATATTCCTTTACCCTTAGCATGTCTAGCATTTTTTTACCTCTGACTTTGACTTGGAATGTTGTTCTGTCATCCTTCGTTTCACAGGTATAGCTCCCTTGGTCTTGCTGTGTCACCTTCTTGATGATGAGCTTGCGGTGTGTCCCCTGGGAGATGATTGTTGTTCTCTGGTTCTGCTTCACCTCAGTTTGATCCTTCTTCCATACAACAGCTCCACTCACAGCTGACACCTCACACACCAGCTCAAGGTCTTCAGAAGGACTGACTGATATTTCTGGAGTTGTTTTGGGCTTGTTGACAAAATTAACAGGTTCATCTGAGAAGAAAAAGAGAAAGCAGTCTATACCTTGGTTCAGGCTTATCAGGACAATGTTAAGATACAGTAATGATTGATCATTATTTCATCATTAGTCACACTTGTGTGATCAAGTTTCACCTCTGGAGGTGTAAATGTACATATCTGTGAATGTAACTACGACAGTGTTAATAGTTATGGCAAGAAACTGTGGTTATGAGTCAGAAAAGGCCCTCCTGAGATACAGCAGCATTATCTCTACCAGGGAACTCATTATCCAAGTGTTAAATCATCCAGAGAGTTAGTACATAATGGTCTCCAGTTTGGGAAATGAGTATTGATGAATCCTTTATACTGTATCAGCCAATTAGGTCTACACTGTGGCATTAATACTAGCCTTAATAAGTCCTAGATAGACATGGACCTATGCTTATCTGGACTCACAACCAAAATCCACCTAACTGATGTACATCCATTTTCTGCCTCCCTTTCAGAAGTCAGGCAAGAAAGCTGCTACAGAGCACAGACGCAGTGGTTTCTGTTACCAGAGTTGTATGTGCACAGAGCCACGAGCAGAATCCAGCCCAACATCATGAGACCATAAAGCCTGATGTGTGCTTTAATTCACTGCTGCTGTCTCACACCCGTGAATGTTGATGCCCGACTTTCTGATTGACGGTGCAAACTCCTCCTCTGATCTTCAGGTAATTGCTCTCAGTTACAGTGCAATCACATTAACCTCTCTATATCCTTCTGGATCTTTTAAACCAAGATGACATGCCCTCAAGTTGTAGACATTTTAATCACCACTCCTTGTTTCTGATTTCAAGCAAGCTCTAGGGAATATGCATCGATGCCTGAGTTCACAAACAGCTTTGAAAAGATCCAAGAAGTCTCAGAAAATATTGTTAGAAGTGATGAGGAGCCTTCTTTTACATGTTTCTGAGTCCATTCTGCAGCCCCATGTTCACATGACGATCAGTCCCACTGGACTAATTCTTCCCCAGACCAGATCAGGGTACATATGGGATAATCTCATTGATAAGATACTCTCCAGCTGCAAGAGGACTAAGTTAATATATGAGTCAATAGTGTCACATCTTTCTGCTGAGACTGGTCTTCACAGTAGAAAATTCACAACTGCTCACAACTCATATAGCTCAAGCAGTAGACGTTCCTGCTTCGATACCGCAGCTCAAACTCTGCTGACTGCACAGACTGGTGGTCACACGTATGAGCTGTGTGTCATGTATGCCGCAGCCATACAGCATTTTTATCAACTCAATTTTTTTTCTAAGTGTATTTGTAAAGGTAAAAGCAAAGACAACTAAGTAAGTGGAGACAGGCACCTTGCATGTAAAATGTGAGCAAACCTATCCAACACCCTGTCCCTAAGCTAATGAGCATGTCAGATATTTCATACCCTTCATTCCATCAAGCCAGTCCTTGCCTGAAGAGCAAGCTGATGGCTGTCAGTTATAACCAACCTTAGCTTAGTATTGCATTTCTTGTAGCAGCAACTGTTGCTTTCAGTCACTGACTATCCCAAGGACAATTGCTATGCTACACCCATACCAGGAACGTCTGTGGCATCAGCGAACAAATATTTCATTAAAAATCATAATCATTAGGACTGATATATTTCTAAAAAATCAGATGACCAAGAGAGGGTAGTCCCTCCAGAATTCTGCTGTTCAAGATTAATGGTGTAACTCATTACCACAAAGACAGATTTCTTCCTTGCCCTAAGACCATCTCTTGACTGTGCAGTGCTTCTTAGCACTCTCAAACTTTTTATGATGACATGTGAAACAAGAGGAAAATTGCGCTAGCTAAGGTTTTGTTAACAGGCTGTAACTCAATCCTTGTTCATGAAAAAAGTTCATGGAGATACACAGTTACGTAGTAGATACCAGTTTTCTTTGTCTGAGCCACGTGATATTTTGTCATGGGAGTTACAGGTGAGATTCACCTAAGCTACACACGGTCATCAAAAAGTTAGGTATCCAGTCTCAGGTAATCATGCAGGTTTCCTCTGTACTTGATGTTCAGATAAAGGTAGCTCCAGAAAACTTTTTAAATCTGTCTTAGCTCTCATCAGACAGTTCAAATCATATGGTATGAATTGCCCTTTGAGGTCAGTTGGCTCTTTTAGATCAATTTTTCAATGTGTAAAGTCAGGGACTCTGAATTATGCTCGGAGTGAAATTGCACAGTGTTGGATTCTCAACCAAAGAGAACTGGAGGCAGGGTGCGGTGTGAATACCTGAGCAAACATCAGTTGTGAAGTGGAAAGTAATCCCTCTAGCTTAGTAAACCCTGTGGCAATCCCTCAACTCCAGCGCTGTGCTAGATTAATCAGCTCTGCTGGTTTTAGTTAGGTGATGGACAGCATCATAGTAACATGGATAGTTACAGGTGACAAGTGCTCAGTTGTTACTTCTTTTAAATTGCATTGTACTGCAGCATGTAGACACGCCATGGGAAGCTATCAGTAGAATTTCAATTTGTAACTTAGGACTGGGTTAAAAATTAGGCTCAAGACATAAGCCAGAAAACCACTTTTAGAAGAAAGGAAGGCTCCCATCAGGCTATGCAAATTGAGTCAGTTGAATTTCACAGATATTGAATTTCACAGATAAATTCTTGTGTCATTTTATACTCTGGCGCCATCCTAGACTGGAACGCATCAGTGACAAGCACTTCTCTTTTGGGCTTGACCTGACAGCCACGTGCTTTGGCACGTGCTTTATGCTGATGGGCATGTGCCATGAACTAATGGCTTCGCTTACAGTACCGCAGGGAGAGATCACAGTGTCCTTCGGGAATAGCAGGAGATACTTGACTCTCAAAATAAGGAGTTAAACTTGTCAAAGGAGGACACAGGGCTGTCCCAGCAAGACTTTAGGACCACCTCGGTCAGGAGGTTCAAAGACGATGAGCTAAAAGAATAAAGGCCAGGTGTGGCTCTCAGCCTGTTCAGCCAGTGGGGTGTTTGAGTCATGACTCCAGCCCTAGTAAAAGCTTGTGCTGACGTCAATACATAACAGCATCATTACACTATTTGCCCATATTGTGGATTTCCATAAGGACCACAGTAAGGGTTAGAGTCTCTGAAACACTGCTGTGCAATCTTGGCCCAAAAATCTGGCAAATTACAAGGCAAGACAAGTATAATGAAGAAAGTCCTGAATTTCTAACACAGGCTCTGATCCCATACTTCCACCACAAACTTACCTGAGACTTTTAAATCAAAAATAAGACTATCGTCTCCAATTTTGCACGTGTATATTCCTTCATCTTCTTTTGTCACAGCTGAAGCCACAAGCTTATGAAGTTTTCCTTTATCTTCCATGGTGAATTTCTTGCTGGCTGTGATTTCTTTGCCACTTTTGTACCACTTGACCATGACGTTGGCCTCAGAGGTCTCAGAAACAAATTCAGCCTGTTTTCCAGCGGTGGCCCTGATAACACCTCCACTTTTCTCTTTGTTTATGAAGTTTGGAAGTGCTGAAACAAAATACAGGTACACAGCACTGGTAAAGAATTGTGTGGACATCGGTAAACACATACACTTACGTCTACATTAGGTATTCATTTATCATAAAACTAAATATGCATGTTTAACTATGGATCTAATTACTTGATTCTAATGCAGAAGCAGCCAAATTTCCAGCCTTTATAAACCATATACTTAATTATCACATGTCCAAAAACCAGAGCACTTATACAACACAGGAGGCTGAGTCCAGGGGAGAGGAAGGCAATAGGGCTTTAAGAAAATATCTGGGAGAAGTGAGGAAAGAAATGAAACAAAAAAACTGGGGGGAAAGCAATGAATGTTATTCAATCATTGTATTGTAACCACCTGGCAAATAAATAAACTCTAAAAGAGGTTAAAACATAAACTAGTTTAAATTAAGTTATATTAAATTAAAAATCTATACAGATATCACATAGGACTGAAATGAAATTTCTTCCTGGAAATTAACTGGAGCATAGAAGATAAACAATAAATCTGGCACCATATTAACATGTAGTGGAATAATTGAGTCACCAATTGTCTCAGAGCATAGATTCAAAACGCCACCAATATCCTAGCTAAAAATGTGAGCCTAAAACCACAGTTCCATCTTACTCTAGAGAATGGAATTTGTTTTCAAACATCTTGTTAACATATTATTTTAAAACACCACACACAAACAAGTCACTTTGTTGGGACTGTGCAGTCAAAGCTACTAAAATCAAAGCCTTGATTATGTATGCAGTTTTTCCTTAATTTGAAGAACATACTTGCACAATACAAATTAACAACTGCTTTTGCCAGGCATTCTGCAGAGAGTTGTTAGCTTTCACTGCTGATACTGTAACAAGAGATACAAGTCCGTGATCCAGACCAGGTAACTGTGACTCCCTCAGACTTTTGCTCCCAAGGCGTTACTATCAGTGCTACGTCCTGGTGCAACACATGGGAGTTCTCCTTTAGCGCATAGACCCTACCCACAAGGATGGATTTTGCATTTTTTCCTTGCTTTTAAGTACATTAGATGTCTCCAAGTCTGCAACAGTGCTTTTAATTACAGACAAACATTTGGTAGAGAAGCAAATCTGTGGTAGTGCTTGTAATTACAAATATTTGGTAGGGAACCAATTTTCACCAGCTTATACAGTGGCAGAGTCTGGAGATCTAAAAATGAAGAGTGAATTGACTTGCCAAGCAGAACACAGGTAAGAACGAAAAATAAACCCTCTGTCCCAAATCTTCCCCAATCTAAGGCTAAGAAATACCCTACAGCAAATAAACAGGGAAAAGAAAGGACATGATGGTGCAGCCAAGGGCCTCTCCAGTTCTGGTCCTCAAGGGACTCCATTCAATCACCAGCTCGTGGCAAGGACAGGAGCTTGCATTTGACCTCTCCAGTTCCCTACCAGCTCTGTTTTCTAGGGTTCATTAAGAAGCAATATCTATGGGTAAAGAAGTCATATCAGAAGCATTCAAACCAGAGAAAACCTCCTTTTTTATTGTTTTTTCTTGGAACCTCTGATTCCTTTTGCTTCTCTAATGACTTATAACAGCAGAGCTTTCCCTTTAGCAGAGAAACACCGCAGTCCTCCTCTACCCAACCCCCAACACCCATGAAGCCTGCAGGGGCCAAACACTGCCAAGACCTCTACTTCTCCACCAGCGTTACTGAAAGTCAGTCCACAGGTCACAAAGTCTGGGAGGAAGAAGAGGGAGATGGGTTCATTCATGCACCTTTCACTTCCTTAGAAAACCAGAGTGAAAAATACAGCCACGGCAGTCTGAAGGAGACTTCTTAGATGTCCTGTTTCAATGCAGGAGGTCATGTGTCAGAGGATGCCTGGCACGTGAAGTCTCACGGCAGTGGAGGGATTGCAGTGATAAATGGCAAGTGCATTTTCTAGAGGGGCTTTTTTGGGCAGGAGGCCCAATGAGTGACACACCTCTGGCCATGGCTCAGCACGGTGGCCTCTCGGCAGCCATGTGATGCCCATGTGCCAGACGCAGCTGACTCGTACATCAAATGATTCACTAGCTAGCTGTGTCTGGTTTACAGGAGGAACAGATAAAAGGTGGCGATGCTGAAAGGTAAAATACTGGGACAGCATTTGTGAGCCTCATCCTACAAGGATGAGATATATCAAAGCTGATTCTCCATGAATCAGGCTACAAACGGCAGATGTTTAAGTTACAGCTTGTCAACCAGGTTTTAAAATAATAGTGTTGATTGCTCCTCTGATAGTCATGTTACAGTGGAAAGCACATGGAAATGTCTGTCAGCTAATTCAATTAAATCTGTGGGTAGATCTGCCAGTGAGAAAAATGATATTAAAGAGGCAGAGAGAGAGAAGAAAACCAAAATTAAGAGCAGCTGCCAAGTATAGACAGCAACTTCCTCCCTCCATAAATGTAGTCATATTTTTTAAATTTTTTTTCAGCTCTCTTCATGCTTCTTTTGAGTTTACTCTTTGAGAATAGCCAAGCAAGTTGTTAAACGCAACACACACACATCACTCCGGGGCTTTGTTGTTTCTACAGAGATCGAGGAGGGCGAGAAGCCAGCAGAATAAGATGTTGAAGCACCTCATATGTACTCAGTGTAGAAACAGTGCAATCATTGCTGGGAAGAAGGTGAGGGATGAGTTACAGGACAGAACACAGAAATCAAATGGCTTTACAAAGTGAACTTGCCAGTTCAAAGCAAAACAGCTACAGAGCTTGACCCAGACAATGTCTGACAACAGGCTGGACTGTCTTGGAGTCCCGTTTTACACTCTGAACCTCAGCAGACAACTAGATGATACCCATGAGGAATGATCTGGGGATACACTGCGGCTTTTCAGCCAAAACCTGGTCCCATTCAAGGCAGAGGAAACTCTCCTATGAACTAGTTCATAAAAGCTTGCACAGATGGGAAGGGCTTGTAAGAGGGAGGCTTAATGCTGTTGGTTTCAGATATTAAATGAAAGGTTCAAGACTCCATGTCTTTCTCTGGGAGTGGACGTGCCCACCAGCTAGGTAGCAGGCAATCAGGGGACTGACATAAAAACAAGAACATGTGAACAACAGAGCTGTTATAAAATAGTACTGGTTCATGTTTAACAAACGGGGCATAGTAAAAAAAAAAAAAAAAAAAAGGACATTTTGCTGTTCGTTTTATGCAACCCTGCATATGAATACCTTGCAAACAGAAATGAGATGAGTCAAGCCATCCAGTGTGTCCTGGAAAGGTCAGTTCTTATCCACCAGGGTATTGACAGAAAACAAAAACCAGACAAAGAAGAAAAAAAATCCCACAATGACAAGATGATCTTGGTCCATCAGAACCTTAATCAGAGCTGAACTAGCTGATCAGTGATTTGTCTGACATCAGATAGCAAGTATAGGGCAGACATGGAATCATGTGCATCATGTCCTGTCCCTGTGGCTGAAGTTCTTCATCACAAGAGCACCTTTTCACTACCCACCATTCAATCTCATGTAATAACAAGACATCAATCTGAGTGCAAGCACAGTTCCTACCACTGAGATGGTGTTAGATCCCAAGTTTACTCCCAACTTCTTTACTCTGGGACTACAGACACTGTCAACGTTAGATGTTGATGGGGAGTTACCACAACTCCCTGCACCGCCTCTGGAGCACTCCCTTTCTGTCCCTTGATGACTCTATTGGCTTCGGGCAGGAGCAGGCCAGGCAGTCACATACCTTTCACTGAAAGCTGATAGACCATTTTATCCCCTTCACAAATGCACTCATAAACTCCAGCATCCTCTGCTGCAGTGTTGTGAATTTTCAGGATGTGCCTCTTCCCCACAGTTTGAAGTTCATATTTTTCACTGGCCTTGAGCTCTTTTCCATCCTTCATCCACTTCACAGTAGCCTCTGCATCTGAAAGCTCAGCCTGAAGTTTGGCTTCCTCCCGCAGCCGAACAGAGACCTTTTCTATATCTCTGCTCTTGTTGGTAAATCTCACTGCAGCACCTGTCAGGAACAAAGCTTTTGTTATTTGAAGTTATATCGAGCTACTATGTCCCTGAAATGTGTCTGCTGTAGACTCCAAGATCTTTGAAAAACCATTAGGTCTTGCTCCTGCCCTCACACTCATGCCAACACCAAGCAATTTTTTTCAGTTCAGAAGACTTGATATGGTTTTATTGATGGAGTCACTGCAGGGGGGGAAAAAAAGCACATTTTTCTGCAGATTAATAATAAATATTCTAAACATGCTTCTGCAGAGATTTTCACGCAAAGTCAAACACATCCTTCCAGAATGAATGCCTACGCATTACTCTTTGCCATGCAGTGTGGGTAGATATAGATGTTATCTTCATTTCACAGAGGAAAGCCAGAGGACCCAACTCTCAATGCTAAATCAAGTTACATGATATTAACTTTTACATCACACACATCTGTGGTACACTAAAAAAACGTCCAAGAAAAAAAACAAACTCTGTGCTCCTTTACTTTTGAATTACCCCACTACAGTCAGAAAGACTAGCCAAACCTGGAGCTGAAGTTACTGGTCTAAGGTGACTCAGTGGTAGATCTGGTGACAGAATCCGCTCACTGATGGTTGTGAACTACAGAAATTCATGAGCTGATGTTAAGCAGTCTAGTTCAGATACCAAGCAGCTGGTATCTCTGAACTCTATGCTATCATGGTTATCTCTGAACTCTATGCTATCATGGTTAGGTCATTACCAGAAACCACATTATGATGCAATTTCAGATGTTTCATACAGTCCGGGCATTGATGAAAGCCTCCAAACCTAGTTCTAATCATGAGGTCACAGCAACCACCCCTTGACTGGAAGAAGAAAGGATAATGATCAAAGTAAATACCTTTCACTCTCATCTTGGTGCTCGTGTCAACATTATTGGCAACAAATTTTACTTCTGCTCCATCATCGTTCTTGGTGACGTTCTTTATGATCAGGGTATGAGTAGTTTGAGTTCTCTTAATGATATAGGTCTCACTTTCCTGTAAGACTTTACCATTAAGGTACCAAGTGCCAGAACATGTCGTTGTAAGGTCAATAGTAAACAGTGCATCCCCTCCAGGTACAGCTTCAACGGTTGTCAGGGGGGTTTTCACAGCCAGGACTGGCTCTGGGGAAGTAAAACAACACATATCTCTGAGATCAAAGGACACAAGACTGCCATGCTGGAGAATAATCTTTCCTAAGAACAAAGGTTTTGGGGTAAACAAGACACAAGAGTAAAATCCTTCAGCCCTATACAATTTGCATGCACTGAAGGCAATGCATGGTTGGTCAACAGGATTTGATTTCTACAGCTGCAGGTAACTGACCTCTGGCATTAGGGTAAGTCTCTCTGCAGGGAAAGAATTTACTTATTTTTTCCCAAAGATGTTTAAAAGCATTACAAGCATGAAACACCTAGGTTCCCTAGCAAGTGTGCTATTTATTTAACAGCCATTGTTATTCTTAGATTTCAGAAGGATCCTAAGGAGGCCACCCAGCCTACTAGTCACTTCTAGATATGCTAGGAAAACACAGGCACGTTCAGATGGCTAAGCAAAAGGATGACACAACAAGAAGACACAGTACAATCAAAGCCTGTGCAGATATTGTGCAGTGCAACAAATCAAAGAAAGACACAATCTCACTGCTCATAATAATTCTATGGGCACATTGGCACCCTAGAAATAAAGTAAAATCCCCATATTTCTCCTAGTAACTCTAAGATTAAAGAGAGACTGACTGGAACCTGGTTTGCATGACAGTATGTTCACCACATAAATATTCTGTAGATACAGTTTTGATATTTAAATACTGAAAATTATATTATAAGTCCACCTCAACTTTTCTTTTCATACCAGGTTTAGAAGCAGCCCTTACAGGCTTAAGTTCTGTTGCAGAGAGCTCTGCCTCTCACACAGCCTCATGTCAGATATTGGAATACAAGCATACTCACAGCTCTATCACAGAAACCCAACCACCATCACGTTGGCAACGGTCAGTGGTTGAAATGAGAAAGGTTTTGCTGCGCTATTACTGTATCATCCTCAAAGTCATGGGAAAGTGTCTTTAGAGCACCCACAGTGCAGACGGACCCATTTTATGATGGTTTTGTGCTCACCAAGGTGCATGCTCCCTGGGAACTCCAGGTAGGGGCTCTGTCCGTAGGCGTTGATTGCAGACACTCTGAATTGATAGTCAGACTCTTCTGACAGGTTGCTCACCGTGAACTCTGGGACAGGGACATGAGACTCATGGCACCTCACCCAGGTAAAGCCAGTTAGTTTCTTGCGTTCCACAACGTAGCCATCGATTGGAATGGGGCGGTCCGTCTTTGGAGGGGACCATGCTAGTGTCACTGAGGTTTCTGTTTTATTTTTCACCACAGGGTCAGCTGGGGGTTGGGTGGGAGGTTTTTTTGGAGCTGTACAAGGGAAAAAAGAAAAAACAAAACAAAACAAAAAACCACAAACAAATAAAAACAGAGCAAGAAGTTTATGTCAGAGTGGACATAGTGAGCCATCGTGCCTCACTGAAAAAGCTTACACTGGACTAAAAGCTACTCTTGCTTAATAAACCTCCATAAAACATTGATGTGAGGTGGAAAAGCAAGATAATGGAAAGAAAATGGTTTTGGGCTGCATTACACAAAGATGTATAATACTCCTACCTCCACAGCTAAACATATGTGATTTCTACACAATATTACAACTGTCTGCACAGTCTCTATAATGGAACAATTCATAGGCTTGAGTTTTCAGTGCTAGATACAGACCCACACCACTTCCTATTCTGCTCCTGCAGACTAACACTCAGCTTGTTATTTTCACTCAGAAGATGAGTAAAGCCACCATCAGAGGTTGTTCAAAATTCTGTGCACCAAATTCCTGTTCCACTTCCTTGATATGAATCCAGGCTAAATAAAAATAAAAATACCTCAATGAGATTACTCTGGCAAGGCAGCACAATTTTGCCCTGCTTACCAGACATCATTGCACGGGGATATTTGCACTAACATTTTAAGTCTGCTGGTATTTATCTTTTATCAGGATTTCAACCATACATGTCCCTGCAGTCAGGAACGTAGGCGTGCCTGAGAGAACCAACGCGTGGCAATGTATTATTGCATCAAGGAAGAGTGCGGTGATATTTTGCAATCCTTTACACACAGATGTGGCATCCTGTGCAGCAATGTAAATCCACCCCATAAAAAGCAGCCTGTGCCAGCAGACTATGTCCCTCATTTTTTCTGAAGAATCTGTTCCAATCTTACACTTACATTCCAGCCCAGATTCTCAACGGATTTCAACAATGAGCACCTAAACATCGTACAACTGGGACATTTCAGAGATAAAAGCTAGATATGAATAAACAGGTTTTAAAGTTACGGACATCTCAGTTGCTTGATACATGGGCTTGGCTGTTCCTCAGGGGTCAGTACTGGGACTGGCG